TGATGACACACTTCATCGTTTTACCTGTTTTTAAACAAGTTATGGCATTTAATATAGCTGTGGTCTCGTCTGTAAGTGCACTACAATTTGTAGGTAAGTGCATGCTGTAGGAGTTTTCTTCATTAGAATAGTAAGCAGCAACATGTCCATCTGGGGTTTCTGTTGAACATCTTGCTTGGTTTATCCTGATGTATATCTTTATATATCTCTTTATATCTTTACATCTATTCTTTGGTACTAATTTTTATACAATATCCTAACAAATATTCCTATTTTTTGGTCTGTGGCTTATTCTTGTTTTTGTTGTTTTCGGTCGGATTAGTTTATTAAATATCGTAAATCTGAAGACCGTCCCTGTGCAATGACGAGGATGTATAACCACAGCTCCATTCACAGTTTATTGACATTTAGAGGTAGCATCATCTGCTTTTTGCAATAAAAAGGACCGCTGAAATCGAAACTAACACAATTGGATACACAACTAAAAAAATTACTTTTCGGTTCATTTTATTTAGCTGCGCCTATTACGTATTACTTAAAACTTATTAAATAAAAAGGTAAAACAAAAAAACAAAATATAACCATATATAGTAATTTATTTTATATATAAAATATAAAATATTATCTACTTCTGTCTTTAGCAATAGATTTTGTAAAAATTCTAAAACAGGTCGAATTTTATTCTAAATGGGGCATATTTTAACGATATAGATATCTGTTAATTGTCAATATGCTCCCTTCCAGTACTCCAACTCTTAGATTGAATCAGTGAAATCTAAAAGGGAAAAATTCCAAAAACCATACTTTTGGAAAATTAAGATAAACGTTTTACCTCTGTAGTATGTAGTAAGCAGAATATATTTAGTAACAGTTAGGTTTTATATGTACACATTTATTGAGTAATTACTATTTTACTTATTGGAATGTTATCATTTTACATTAGGTAGCGGGTAGGAACTCCTCTGGATGGCCCTATCAGGGAAAATGAATCAACCCCTGCCCTTCGCAGATTCCAGGTGTTTCCTGACCCGGGAAACTAGTACCTGCTTAGGGTCCCTTGTCCGGGGTCACGGATGAAGTGCACAACGGCAGCCACGATGAAGAAGAATTCCTTCGGTACGGTGTGGATGGGAGATTGGTATGGTGTAGATACAAGCATGCTATTTAGGGTGGCAGTGAATAAAATTATAAAATTAAAATAGCTATGATGGTAACCAACGTTCTGAAAGGACATGGTACATGAAGAAGAAGAAGGTGTGGATGGCGAAAGTAGCAATCCCTTGATTTTAGGGATTATATAGAATCGCTATATGCGATGAAGGGCAGCAGCGATCATCAGTACCAGCTCAAGGCGTAGAGGAAATAATCCTGGATCGGCTTGAAACTGGGCTATCACAAGCATGACTAGAGCAGTTTAAATGGTTGTGATAATGCGATGGGGAAGGCAACGGGAAACCACCCCATTATTATTCCCTAGTTCAATCATAATGGCACTATCATATGATAAGAAAAGGTATACTGATCATGGTCATCGGACACCAAGATCCTGCAGGAGAAAAGCACACAGGGCTTCCTACGCCTTTATCCTGCGAAATCCCTGTGATAAAGGAAAAGAAATCAAAATAAAATCAGGTATCAGAATAGGCACATGGAATGCGAGAAGTCTCTACGAGCCTGGTAAGATACAAATCACCATACGTGAGAAGATGAGGCTCAATATACCAGTTCTTGGGATAAGCGAAATGCGGTGGCCAGGGACTGGTATATATAACATAGATGATTACGATGTATTCTTGATGATGGTATAAAGAAGGTAATGAGTCAGCTGAAAAACAAAGACATTACTATAATAATGGGGGACTTCAATGCCAAAGTAGGAAAAGGTAGACAAGGAAACATTGTAGGGAATTTTGGACTTGGACAACAAGGAAATATTATAGTCAATGAACAAGACAGATTAGAGAGGTGGAAAGAATATATTGAGGAGCTGTTTGTGAACAAAAGAACAGAAATTTAAATCGAAAATATATCGACTGGTTCAATATAAGAGCTATGTAATAAAGCTATCAAAGAATAGGAAAGCAACCGGTTCAGGTGAAATTCCAAGCGAAATAATCAAACTGCTCGACGATAAGGGCAAACATTCTCTTCTAAGCCTCTTCAATAAAATATACGAAACAGGACATATACCAACAGACTGGCTACTATCAACATTTGTAATGATACCAAAAAAAAATAAATGCCAGACAGTGTAGCAAATGATTAAAGCTATTAAAGCTAATAATAAAACATTTTCCATTATTTTTGTTCCAAGAGCTAGTTTTTAAGGGCGCAAAATTACGCAATAAATAAATAAAATCTTTAATACTCAGTTAATGAGATTTCAATTCAGTAATGTATTATTCAAATAATTTAAGTTTCTTGAAATTAATTTTTTCAATGATTCTGCTTTAAGGGGGTTAAAGTTCATTAACATTAAAGAAACTATTCGGGTATTATTAATATGCGATATTATATTTTAGAAATATAAAAAGTTTTTAATGATTTTCGATTTATGGGATAGTTGCTAAAAGGGTTGAAAAATTAATTAAAATCATAAACATTGCATATAAATGTTGCAAAATACTTATGTTGTTTAATTAATCGAGATTACTTATGCCAGAATGCTTAAATCTGCATTTTGTACCATTTCTAACAAAAGGGGTGGATTTGACCCCTTTGAAGTTAAGGGTAAAATATACTTAATCACAAATGTTCATGAAAATCGATGGAGGTTCACCAAAATCGGAGGTAATAATTGATTTTTACCTTCATTCACTGTGTTAACCATGTAAATTTAATACACGCCCAAATTATTTTTTTATATATTAACCTTCAGCATCTTTGTCTTGCTCTCGGACTTATTGGAAGCTGATACACTATATACGGAAGGAAGGAAGGACGTTTCATACAAAGTCAATCCAAATACATACTAAACTTCCAGGCGCATATTGAAATACCATTTCTCTCGTTTAAATTAATCTCCAATGTCAGTGTTTTAAGATTGTTCAAGGTATATTTCACATTTGTTTGTAAGATGAAGGCCTTTTTCAAATTTTTAAATAAATAAGACTTGTATATAAAAACAAATTCGATCTGGAGTTTTTCAGTTACAGTTGTTACTTCCAACTTAAATTACATTTACTAAAAATGGTTTTAAAGATTGTTGCACTCATCGCTTTAGTGGTAGTCGTAAAGGCTGGTTTAATAGCACAACCTCTACAAAAAGTTGTTGTACCGGAACCGTATAATCCTAATCCTCAGTATTCATTTCTATACGAAGTACAAGATCCACTAACAGGTAAATAATATATTTCTGTTTTTAATAAATCATGCAATTTTGTGTCTATTTTCTGCATTAATATAACATACCACTTTTAGTTAAAATTGTTCGATTTAATTCAACTGTTAACATTCATTGATATTTATTTTATTTAAAATTAAATGTAGATGAGGAGATTTTAAATTATTTTAAATGGAAATATTTTTACCAAGCTAATTTTTAATTTATTAGACTGATAGAGTGCTGATTGCTACACTGTTTAGCATCTATTTTTTTTTCGGTATCCTTACAAATGCTGACTGTATCCAGTCTGTTGGTATACGTGCTGTATCGTATATTTTATTGAAGAGTCTTAGAAGAGAATCTTTATACTTATCATCAACTAGTTTGATTATTTCGTTTGGAATTTCATCTAATCCGGTTGCTTTCCTCTTGTTTGATAGCTTTATAGCTCTTTTCATTTCATCGAGAGTTATGTTTGAACCAGTCGATATATTTCCAATTTGAATTTCTGTTCTATCGTCATTAAACAGCTCCTTAATATATTCTTTTCACCTCTCTAATACTACTTGCAGTTGATCTATATGTTCCAGTTATTTCTTTTTCCGTTTTGTACATATTAAACGTGTCATTGTTTTTCTTTAGTTCTTCTATTTTAAGACATTTGTTGATGTACCTTTTGCATCCCGTATTTTCCTTCTGATTTCTTTATGGATTTTATTATATTCTTCAGTTTTTTAATTTTTGTGTTTTCTTTTCCTTCCATTAGTTCCCATATTAGTTGGAATTTATTGTTATACATACCAGGATTCTATTCCTCTTCTTTAGGCTATATTCTTCTTCAGTTGCCGCCTCCTGATTGGACGTTGCTAATGTCTACAGCAGATTTCACTCTATTTTGTTCTCTTCTGGTTATATTTTAAAATGGAATTATTCAATTTATTTTTTATTTTGACTTCACCAGATTTTTTTTTCATCTGACTATCCTTCCATTACTAGCTCCAGGAAATGATGATTTTAGTGTCTAAATTTATATTACAGAGAAGATGTTTTGCCACTTTTGATACTTTACATGTACTATTTCAACTCCTCACAATAATACAATCGTCCTAAACCTTCTTCATTACTAAGGTCATCTATCCACAGGTTTTTAACACGCAATCGCTTTCGTAAAATCAAATTAACGTTTCCTATGGTGGAAAATTCTTATAATTTTAAAAAAGGGTTTGACTTCTAGTCTCTTGTCACCGGGTCTAAGGTGCTATGTATCCAACAGTTTAAGTATTTTAAGCATGTTCAATTAGTTTATTGTTTACTGGAACGTTCATAGCTCGTTCATTCTCTGCCGAAATTATCAGATATTAGACTGTTTTTTTTTTCATTTTCATTTATCACAGTTTGTACTTCTTCTTAATCAAGTTCGGCAATTAGCACAGTCTGGTTAGCACTCCGTATTTATAAAAAATTTAATTTTCATCTAGAGCTTATTAAATACAACTAAAATTGAAAATGTCTTATCTAAAATTTAAATGTTAACTATAATAAGTGTAGTGGGTATCACCAGTAGTTTTCATCATACTATGTACTTCAAGCGATTTAATTTTTGCTTACTCTTAAAACTTTCGTATTTATTTTGATAGGTGACAGTCATGGACAGTACGAAACTAGAGAAGGTGATATGGTCAAGGGAGCTTACGCCCTAATGGATTCCGACGGTACACGAAGATTGGTAGAATATACTGCGGACCCCGTAAATGGGTTTAATGCTGTAGTGTCGAAGCAACCAACAGGTAGAAAAGCCGTTATCGCTCCTGCTGCTAAAGTCGTAGCACCTTTATACTGAAAACAACTGTGATTTATTTATTATTTATTTATTGATGGACTGAAAATGTATAGGATAATTAAAAGAATTTGAAATTTTTGTCTTTTGGAATATTTTTCTGTGCCTACCTTTCTTTAGACAAAAAATAATGTGTTATAATAATAAACTAACCACGGACACAACTACAAAAGTAAAGTTTGGATTTAGATTTTTAGGAAAATATACCTGACGAAGGTTTAACCATTTGGAAGTTTGTAACCTTTTTCTCTTGTTTGTCGGTTACTGTATTAGACTTACGTCATGTTACGTATTCCAAAGTGTATTAATCCTTTCATTACTGATTTCACTGTAGCTGAATAAGTTTAAAATGACTTTAATAATATCCGTTGATAACTAGAGACCTAACACATCGATTAATGTTTTTTTTTACATTGTTGCGTGACCTTATATCCTTAAAAAGGACATGGGACGTATATGTCCCATTAGTGTTGAATGGTGGGATAAATAAATCCCATAAGTAAAACATTGAACATTGAACACAAAGTAGAACATTGTGTTACATACAAATAATGTGTTACAAAACAATGTTTGCATAGAGGCATATTGCACGCCGTACAAATAGTCGTAGTTTAAGTTTCTGATTTATGTTGTGTAGGTTTCTCCTAGTAGTTTCTCCTATTTGTTGTGGCAAATGGTCTCCAATGTTATTATCTGTTTCTGTCGTTTAGATATTCTTTTAGAACGGCCACTTATTTGTTAGATTTTACATTTAATTTCGATCTTCCTAATTCAATTAGCTGTTCTGCTAGTGGCAACAGAAAATTCAAAAGTAAAAATTTTGTATTTCCTTGTTGTAAAGTTGTACACTTCTTTTATGAAAATTCTTGTAAATAATCCAAGAATTTACAATAGTTTAAAAAACTAATCTATAAAAAACTTTTCTTTACCATTTCGCAGATTTTCGGTCCATATCATATGTATCAACATTTTGTATTCTGTTGATCATTCTAACAGCTGTGAGACATGCGTAACTTTCATGACATATTAGTACCACCGTCGTAACAATAATTACAATATCCGATGTAAATGAATAGGTTACTAATTAAAATTAGTTCCTAACTCTTGTCAAGTATATTTCCAGAAGGACTTCAATATAATCGGAGTTTTATATAAATATATGTGTTTTGATTGGCTAGCTGTTTAGTTGCTGAATGGCGTTTACTAATCCTTGCAATAAAAAGAGATGAGAGAGGACTTCATAGTTAAGAAGAACAAAAGGGATTCTGTATAATTTATAAACTACATATCAGATTAATATTGTAGAGAGAAGTGTATTGATCGGGTAGCTGATCCACTTAGTCAGAAGTAATGATATTTAAGTTTCAATGGGTATGTACCAAAGACATAAACATAATTTTTAGCTACATATACATGTTGATAGATTCAACCGAAACTTAATAAAATATGGAAAGTAGGAAATATGGAGAATTATTAGAGGACAAAAAAAAATAGATGAACGAACTAAGAGAAATGCGAAACATTTGTAGACTACTTTAAACCCCTACTTCCTAATGGCAATGATAATGAACTACCAATACCCGCACTAACGACAAACGAAGAATATCAGTGATCCTATAACATTTATAAGACAAGATACAAAAAAGAATATCATACATAAAAGGATTAAGTATCGAAAAACTTAAAAGGACATTCAATACAACAAACACATTGAGATCTATTTATCTAAAACCAAACCTAACAATGAACAAGAAAGAATGAAGAATTATAGTTACAAAATAGCTTGTAAATGCGAACTTTTTTATTTAGGTGAAACATCAAGATCAAATAAATGTTAGAGTAATTGAATATTAATTTCTTTACGCATAAGAAAATGAAAATAAGGTTCTAATATCCATTATTTAAAATTATTTTTTTTATGTTTCGTAGTATATACATATATTCCATACTTCTCTACTAAGGTATTAAACTTTTATAAAGAATATTTAATAAACTTTTGAACTCAATTTCTAAAGACTAAGTAGGCGTAGTTTCATAACTTCTAAACAATTTTCATTAATAAATCTTCACTTTGAAAAAGAAGTAAATAATTTAAATATATTGTATTTCCAATTAATTCTTACCAGCACAATAATATTTTTAATAACATAATAAAAATTTAAAGAATATTCACTATTATTAAAGTTGCATCATATACCTACTTTTACAAAAAAATTTCCAAATATCTCTGCATTTTCATCAGAATCTCCAATTGCATTTGGTAGACCCATTAACATTCAACCAAACACCAATAAACATAATGTCAATATTAAACCCCGTACCAATGGTTACTGTTGCCAAATTGGCTGTTTTGTATGCAGAAAGGCTTTCGTCTATTACATGTGAATCCTTAATAGTATGTGTATAAAAGCCAAGTAGGTTTTGAAGACAGCAGACAGTCTCGTGTTGATTTCAACGATAAAAATGGTTCTAGCAGTAAGTAGCTTTGACACTTTTAAAAATATTAGTGTTTTAGGAATTTTTTTCTCTTTTTTCCCGATTCAAAATTTGTTTTTGTGTTTTTTATATATATAAAAGACAATTTAAATGTATTCATTTTTTAGACATGCCTATTTAAAATGCCATTTTCTTTCTTTTTATTTTTTCTTCTCAATTCAATTAACGCCCAAATTATTTTTTTTAATTTCAAAATTTTACTTGTATACTTGTATACTAAATATTTCTACAATTGAGTGAAATCATAATCGCGAGTATGTATGAATAAGTCGAAAATGTGGATTAAAGCAGCTGAGCAGATTGGTACTGGTTCGTTCGTTATTAAGTATTTGTGTGTTAATGCAGTATTAAACATTTTAAAATCCTCTTTATTTTTAAAAATACATTATTTTTTATTCATTCTTATATTATTCTGTCTTATATATTATTTTCCATAATTTTCTTGCTTTCCTTTCTAGTATTATCATCGATTTGGTTGGCCGTTTTGCTTTTTTTACTGAAACAACATTTCTTTGATTTTAATATTATTACGATTTTTTCTCCCGGATAGTTCATTATTTGACATATCTGTTTTTATCCCCATTTTATTTTTAGTATATTTTACAGTTTGAGCTTTCTCGAAATAATTAACACATTTTATTTATTTTTAAATAGTTATGTAAGAAAAATTAAATAGGTATTAATTGTTTATTTCTTTAGTTACCTGACTCAGACTATCGAAACTATAACATTAGGTTCTCATATAAATTTAAAGTAAAATACTCACCAATTTGATGTATAATGCTTATTCTAATCTAAGCTTACCTGAAACAACAATAATATTTTAGAATCAACATAACAGGCGAAAATAATTTCTTAAAGTTATCAAGTTTTTTGTTTGCTCATTGAGTAAAAAATAACTATTTATATTATATATTCCGTTTAAATTAAGTTTAAATCTTAATTTTCAGCTAACAGTTTTCTCTGCTATCTTGGCTCTAACCTCTGCATCGGGTGTAGTAGCCCCAGCTCCAGTAGCTCTTGCTGCCGCCCCCTTAGCCGCTGCACCTGTCGTTGCCCAAGTTGCAGATGACACCTTTGATCCAAATCCATCCTACTCTTTCGCTTATGACGTTCAAGATGCCCTAACTGGAGATTCCAAAGGCCACATCGAAAGCAGAGCCAACGGAATAGTCCAAGGACAATATAACGTAGCTGAACCTGATGGTACTAGAAGAATCGTTGACTACACTGCTGATCCCGTCAACGGCTTTACTGCGTTAGTAAGAAAAACACCCCAAGCCGTCGCTGCCGCCCCAGTAGTCGCTGCACCTGCTGCCCCAGTAATCGCCGCCCGTGCTGCACCTCTAGTTGCTGCTCGTGCTGCACCAGTTGTTGCCGCTCCCGCTGCACCAGTAGTCGCTGCTCGCGCTGCGCCTTTAGTTGCTCAACGTGCTGCTCCAGTCTTAGCCGCTCCTGTGCTGGCTGCTCGTAGTGCTCCATTACTTGCCCAACCTGCCCCTTATATAGCATCGGCAGCTCCTTTAGTAGCACAATCCGCTCCATTGTTGGCAAGAGCGTCTCCTTATTTTGCTCCCTCTGCTCCTTTGTTAGCTGCAAGGTCGTATGGTTTAGCATCCGCTCCGTTGACGTATGCCGTTTTGTAAGGAGAAGTGTCTCAGTTTAGGTAAATATTGAATAGATCAGAATTCTGATGCATCGACTTGCTCAATTGTAAATTGTTATAATTAAATGATTTTTGTACATAATTTTATACTTCGTATACCAATTTTGAATAAATTGATATTAAATATTTATAGTTTTTTATTTTATTTTGCATCAAGTTTAAATCCGTAATATTCTGTCTATATTATGAAAAATTTATTATATAATTAGAATAAAAATTCGGGCTTTTAGTTTAAACAAGATTTTTACATACATCATAAAACTCATTTTATTGGACATAAAAGAAGTATAACGTGGTCATTACCTTTTGTCCTTTTACCATGAATATACAAATAAAAACACAGTATAAACACTATGTAGCTATTATAAAGCGAATTTAATTTTCTTATAAAATATAATTCACCATATAACCTAACAAAAACAGCTTTTGGTTTTATAATGAGATTAACAAAATGAAAAACAGCGCATTTTTTATTAGTACTGACATATCCAGTTCCACAAAGCAGTTAAAAATTTTTAAATAATCTTTTACATAATACAATATACAAGGAAAGGGGTGAACTGGACTACTTTTACAATGAAAGTAGACGATTAAATTTGAAGACTACAAGGGAAAAACGCTTTAAGTCAATTTTTATCGATTTCTTGAGGAATACATTTTTCGATACTTGGATACACGTAGTACAATCCACAAATATCAAACAAAATAAAAGTGCAATAAGTCAAACGTTACAAACGAATAAAATAATGCTGTACAATGGAAGAGCGCTGCAAGTCAAGGTTAAACTAGGCAACAATGCTATAAGTCAGATTGAGGTGTTCAATGCGCATGTCCGTAGAGACAATTTACAATGGAAAATCAGTCAGTGTTTAGCATTCATACAAGTTGTTTATTTAAGTATCAATATTATTATAATCACAGTTTGTTTTTTAACGTTTGGTAAGTTTGAACTATTGTTAATAATATGGAAAGTGAGGACAGCGAAATTGAAGAGGCTTTACAGTCAAAAACTACAAGAAAACGAAAAAGTTTCGGTCGAAAAAGTTTATCAGTGTTTTGAAAATATAACGGTTGAACAAAGAAATACAATTATTCGTAATTTTAATTCTATGCTGAATTGGGACGAGTAAAGTATGTATTTGGGTGGTCTAATATCCATACTTCCTGTAACTCAAAGAAGGCCAAGAAAAGATGAACAGAATTGCAACGTAAGAGATAACTCTTTTTATTACAGAATTCGCCTTGCGGTAACTAATGATGAGGGGCATACATCACCTGCAAAAGACGTTCAGGTTTGTCAAAAAGCTTTTGTTGCTCTTCATGGCATATCCACGAAAAGATTACAAACTGTAAAAAAAGCCCTAAAACATGGTACAACTGCCAAGGACAATAGATGTAAACATGGCTCAAGACCCAATAAATTGTCTGAAGAAACTATGCAGTTCATTTTAAATCACATAAAATTATTCAAAGGACGCATGAGTCACTAGAGCCTAAAAAAATCTAGCAGGAAGTACCTTCCAGAGGAACTTAACATTAAAAAGATGTACAAAATGTTCCTTGAGAAACATCCCGATAGAGCAGTGTGCTATGAAGTATATAGAAAAACACTCAACATACGCTTTAATATCTCCTTTGGGTATCCTAGAACCGACACTTGTAGCATTTGTGATGCTTCCAAAATAAAAATAAGGGAATGTAAATATGAAAAATTAATTAATAAACTTAAAACAGGGCAAAAACTTCACTTGCTGAAAGCACAGACATTTTACAAAAGAAAAACAAAAGCTAAACTACGAGCAAGGATCTCAAGAGAATATGAACTTATAGCCATGGACTATAATAAAAACCTTCCAATGCGTAATATCACGAGTAACGACGTGTATTATAAAAGGCAGTTGCCTTTCTACTCCTTCTACTTATGTTAATCGACTTAGTGATAATGATGTTGTTATGTACTCATACCCTGAGACTGTAGCTCGAAAGGGTGCCAATGAAGTTTGCTCATTTCTGTATGACCATGTGACAATCCAGCTTCCTCCTGAAGTTCGTAACTTAGTGATTTTCTGTGATTCGTCTGAAGGCCAAAATAAAAATTGGACGGTATTCTGGTTTTTACATTATTTAGTCCATAAAATAAACAGATTTGACTCTATTTCTGTGACCTTTCCTATAAGAGGTCACTCTTACATGGAGACGGATAAAGATTTTGGTATCGTTAATCAAAAAAGTACAGCAGAAACCCCAGAAGATTGGGAAGCAGTGTTACGATTGGCTTGTCAAAAACCTGTGCCTTATAAAGTAGAAGTGGTTGATAACTAGTTGGTGCGTAGCTGGGACACTTTTCTTGCACCTATGTATGTTACAAAAGCACCTTTTAAAACTAGACCAATAAGAGAATTAAGCATTTCAAAGCAACATCCCAGACTAATTTATAGAATGGAATTAAAGAAGCACTATTTAGTATTCAGGTTATGGTACAGAGATGCAGAGATATCACACATCTAGTTTATATGTGTTTTAATGACTTTGAAATGGCCTTTGATCGAGTAAAACATACTGAAATGACATACTTCATCAGGTAGGTATTGATAATAATATATTATATATTGATAATATCAGAATTGGCTGGGACACTATAGAAGAGCTTCAAATACGAAGAGGAGTAAGGCAGGGCTGCATTTTATCCCCGCTACTATTTAGCATCTATTCTGAGTTCGTTTTTAATAAAGCAGTGGATAATGTTCAATGTGGTATACAAATGAATGGCGTCAATATTAATACTTCGAGATATGCGGATGACACACTGTTAATTGCAAGCAATTACGAAGAACTTCAACATCTAATTAATAGGATTACCACAACATGTGATGAATATGGCCTTACGCTTAACACCGCAAAGACAAAGGTGATGGTCGTCAACGGGAGAATTAACAGTATAACTTACCTTGGTAAATGAGAACTGGGACATAAGCAAAGAAATTAGAATACGAACAGAGAAGACCAGAGCTGCATTCTTAGGGACGAAGAAACTGTTATGTGAAAACAATATTACCTTAAGTCTAAAAATTAGATTAGTGAGATGTTATGTGTTCTCTACCCTTTTGTATGGTGTCGAAAGTTGGACTTTGACGGATACACTTATCAAGAATCTGAAAGTCTTTGAAATGTGGGTGTATCGGAGAATCCTACGAATATGTTTGTTGAATAAAATTCGTAACCAAGTTGTTATGTATTGGATGGGAAAAGTTACGCAAGTCGTCAAAGAAAGAAGAGGGCGAGGTCGAAGAAGAACGTCATGTCTAAGAAACCTGAGAGATTGGTTTAACAGCTCCTCTGCATCTCTTTTCCAAGCTACCGTGAACAAAATTACTATAGCCAATTTGATAGCCAACGCTCGATAATCGAGCAAGGCACATGAAGAAGAAGTATGAGAGCAGTGACAAAGGGCAAGGTAAGTTTCTGCTCTAAATCACAAACCAGGGATCAGAATAAAATGAATGCCAGAAATAACTCCAAACAAAATCAAAACGGCATTTTAGAAATGAAAAATAACCAATAAAAAATTATCCAGACTTTGGCCAAGCTTTCACCGAATGCATCTCAATGGAACAATCCATGTAAATTTTTCTATTGTTTTCAAATTTTGTCTATATTTGATTATAAAAGTTCCTTCTATATTAAGCTAGTTCATATTTTGCAACCAGTTTTTATAAGAGAATAAGCCAGTTTCAATATTTACGCATACAAATCGACATTTGAAATTTGAAATATGTGTAGCTACAATTTTAGAATACTGTAGTTTCAAATAAACCGTAAATCTCTTTTCACATTAATAACAATTCCATTCTCAAAAATTTCCAGCTAACATAAAGACTGATAATTGGATTACGTTTGAAATATTTTGCGTTGTTATATTGTACAATACCACACAAAATTGTAGTAAAGTTTTACCAGATTACTGAAAAACCTAGCTAAAAGTAAATAATATTAAATAAAAAGATGGAATCTGCTAAAATAGTTTCTTGATTCTATTAGTCCAGGCATCAAAGATTTGACGTTTAAAAATCATAAGAACAAGCTAAATTTTGCTTAGAATGTCAATTTTGAGTCATCCAAAAAGATGCATAAAAGTTTGCTATTCCTACTTATTGGGTGCTTCCTAAAATCCCTTTCGTATGAGGAAAAAATGGAAAACATCGATTTACCAAAAATAAAAAAAAATGTCAAAAAATGTAGCTGAAATAATTTTAAACAAAAACGTTGATTAGCACTTTTTGGTGTAGAATCAACTGATCTGTCTGAAACAACATTTAAATATTGGTTACGTATTATCATGGTATCAATTCAACGGTATAACTTCCATATCTTTTTGTCAGAGTGTCCTACCAACAAAAGTTAAAGTTGGTTTCAAAGACAAAGCTTTCGTTATTACCTTTGATTTTGCTGCATATAAAACCAGTTTTTATAAAACTAAAAAATAAACTTTGCGGAATTTTTGCCATTTTTTATGGTTCTCATGGGATCAACGAAATATAATGGTATGATATGTAGGTTGTCTTAGTGTTGCATTATAAAATTTGTGCTAAAAGGAATTAAGCTACACAAGGATATGTAATATTATGAAAAAATTATATCACTTTTTATTTATCCTAGTGTTATACTTAACAGAAGGGTTTATTTCGAATCATTTGACATGAATATCACAAAAGTCATTTCTTTAACATATCCTACTGTTGCTTTAAGGCGACGATATATCACTTCCATTGAGCGGTCACTATGGAATTTTCATTGTCCGCGCCTAATCTTCAAAACCTCTAATATTTTATTTAACATCCCAATTATTTCCAAACTGTAATAAGGATTACAATAAGTAAATTGTTTAATTAGATTACAAGAGACTTGCAGGGGACTGTCCAGTGACAATAACCTATTAAATCATAATTATAGTAACAAAATTATTTGTGACTCTAATATAAT